CAATATAGAATTGTTAAGGTGACGGCAGATCCCTACTGCTTTCTTAATTTGATTTCTCCAAAATTGTTTTGGTTTACTTTTATTAATTAAATTCGTTTTATTAAAGTAGGACATAAAAATCAATCATCTTAATTTCTGTTTTACACTAATTAATTGGAATTTGGTTTGCTTCGAATTATTTAATAATTTATGTGGAGGACGATCTTGAAAGATCCGTTTATACTACAATAACCTTGTCATTCTTGCAAGTATTACAAAAATTTTTAACCCTTTTGTGTGTGGGGTAAAATCCCCATCAGTCAACCTGGGTTTGAGGTCCAATGCCTAGACAGCGTTCCCGTGTTCAACATGTGGAATAGCGACTACAGAATTCTCGAAATGAATTCGAATAGTAGTCATGGACTACTAAAATTGCTCGGCAGGACTATTGGCAAACTATCTGTCCTCCCACTTTTGTTTCCACCAACATCAACTTAGACGTGACCTTTACTACGTACGCAGTACAAATACGGATAGTACTATCCCGGGATTTAATTTTAGTTCCCAATCCTGCAGTGACATGAGGGGCATCACTAAGGGCTGATTTGGTATTACTGTGCTTTGAAAAAAAACTGTTGTGAGAATAAGCGGCTGTGCTGTAAGAATAAGCGGCTATGAAACAAATCAGCAGAGTGTTTGGTAAACTTTTTTGTAAAAGTGCTTTTGAAAAAAAAAGCAGTCTGATAATGAGTTTTTTCATTAAAGGAGCACTGTAGCTCTGTGTGCTTTGAAAAAAAACCAATTTTCTAAAGCTGCAAATAGCAGTTTCAGCTTTTTCCTTTGATTTCAGCTTATTCTCACAGCAGCTTCCAAAATAAGCTCTTTTTTTTAGTTTACCAAACACCTAAAACCCTCACAGCTTTTTTTCATGGATGCTTTTTTTTTAAGTATTTCACTCCCAAACCACCCCTAATTCAAATACGACTATCCACGGTGGTCGCGGATTTGATATTAATACGTATGTCACAAGAAATCCCGGATTTGATCCAGTTGCGACTGGCTTATGTACGTACAGGGTCAGTGTTCTGGTTTTTACAACAGCTGTTCTTGCTCTAGAGTCCAATCGAACGACTATCTAGGGCGCGATTGATGGGGGTTTTGAATTGGAGATTAAGATTGATGATGGTCCATGCAACAGTTGTCAGGTATCAGGAGGAATGTGCGGGCTTAACACTACTCGTGGTGGATTCAGTTGCTTTCGCCATGATCAGGATAATGCAATGCAACTACATGCAAATCAACTTCAACTGAGTCATCAGGTACATTATATATGCCTTTAAACTTTATATAAAAGTCCATTGAATTAATCCAGGGGACTAATGGTACCTTATTTTAGGGTTGTAGAATACGCATATATATATCTCATTGCAGCCGATTAGCTACGAGGAACCAAGCATGCATTAGATTATTTGCGTTGATAAAATTAGATGGAGTTATTAACTACATTGAAAAAGGTATGAAACTATCCAAATTATAATAAAAACGAGGAGAAGAAGACAAGGTTTAGAAGGAAAGGAAAGCTTGTATTAATATCTTCTGATTTGAACAGATTACCAAAAATGAGAGAGAGTTTCTAATTTAATTATACTAGCCTATCAAAAAATAACTAACTCTACAACCTTCTAACACACTTTTCTAAAATAAGAAACATGTTTCCTTATGGTCTGTTCAATAAAGTACACTAACTCAGTGGCGGAGCCATAATTCTGAATGAGGAGGGGCCTTTCACAAATATATATATATATATATATATATATATATGAGTGTGTAAAAAGTTGAATTCATAACATGTTGATATATGCAATTTGTGTAATCCTCACAAAACTGAAAAAAATTCTCTTAAATTCAATACTAAGAAGAAAAAAATGTAAAAACCCAAACAACTAAGTAAGAGGTAGGTTGTGAAAGGCTAAAGAAAATACAAAGAAGTAGAAAAAGAAGGAAAAGAGGGAGAGGTCTACAAATAAAGAAGGTGGGTTGCTTTAGACAATTATATGGTGTATATTACTGTTAGGTGAGAAAATCGAACCAGAAGTGGGGTTGCTTTTTCCATTTAAAATTGCACATCTCTTTTCCCCTGCCAAACTTATCGTTTTATTAGACAGCCGAAAAGATTTAAAATCAAAACAGCTTAACGACGTCGTTTGCTTTATCTTCTTCCATGAGGTTCACACCTCAGATGAAGTCAGGATGTGCCGGGAACTACCCTAGTCCCTTGGTGGCTCCGCCCCTGCACTAACTAGCTAGTCTAGCGATACTTTTCTTCTTAATTTTGGAAGAGCTACGTTATCCAATCACCCTCATCCATGGTAGATCTGGCTTAAGTTTGACTGCGCCATCGATACCCACAGAACAATAGTTTATGTGGAGGAACTAAAAAAGGTGTATAACTTCATATGACATTTTTTTTTTAAATTTCCTTAAACAATTTTTAATTTGATTATTTTTTCGCATGTATGACTTTAAAATGATTATTATGATTCAGATGAATTTTACGACATGTTCGGTCAGTTTTGGTGAATATTCATTGATTTCAATTGGGTGGGCACATGAATTTTATGGAATGAGGATCATCTCTGGATATCGTGCAGTTAGAAATTATTTTAAATTATTTTATTTAAAATTGAACATAAATAGTACCGGACAAAAATTGATCACACGATGTACGATGAACGAACAAGATTAAAGAATCTCGAGATGCTCACAAAGAAGATCCTTATTCAACTTTATGGACAATAAATTGGATGACCTACGGGAAGCTTCGATATCAATTTATCAACACCCAGGAGCCAACCTGACCTGAAAATCTTTTAATTATATATTATTAGGGAAGGGGTGTGATATCCACACACCCATTTTTACTTCTCCCACACCTGTTTGGTTTTCGACCGTCGGATCGGATGAATTAAAGAAGATCAATTGACAGAAATTAACAAGGGGTGTGTGAGAAGTAAAAATGGGTGTGTGGATAGCACACTCCATTAGGGAATTATTATTAGCACTACAAAAATTTTAATCTACAATTCTCATAAGTGTATTTTTCTTTCTAATTGTAGAAAGTTTGGAGTACTAATAACAGTTCCTTATCATTAATTCCTTGAATGATTCTAGGTTCTAAACTTGAAAAGTTGTCCTAAACCCACAATCACGTAACAAAGGGGTGAAGAATCCTATTTAGAATGAATAATGATAGAGAAACAAAAAATTTAAACAGAATTTGCAAACCAAATGATGTGTCACCAACAAAAAATAAGTACGTTAATCAACCCTTAGTAATAATTCAATCATTAACATTCACATAATTTAGTTTATAAAATTTAGTTTAGAAATTTGATTTTCCAAACATTACCCATTTAGAATTTGCTCACCTTGTAAACCCAACAGTCACGGAAAGAAAGTAAAGAATCTTATTTTAGATTTGCTCTTTGTTAACCTAAAAGTCAGTCTAATTATTCTGGAGCTTTTATTTTTTTTATTTTTTATTTTATTTGGAACAAACAATATTATCTACACTAAGAAATATGGGATGGGCTTAGCCTCACAATGAGCTAACAATAATGTGGTTCAAACTCGCTTTTGGTGAAAATCGAACTTAAAACCTCTCACGGAAAGAAAGTGAAGAATCATGTTTCAAATTTGCTCTTTGTTAACCTAAAAGTCAGGCTAACTATTCTAGAGTTTTTTATTTATTTATTATTTGAAATAAACGATATTATCTACACTAAGGAGTAGGGGATTGACTTAGCCTCACAATGAGCTAGCAATAATGTGGTTCAAACTCGCTTTTGGCAAAAATCAAACTTAAAACCTCTCACTGAATGTAAGTAAAGAATCCTATTCCATATTTGCTCTTCGTTAACCTAAAAGTCAGTATAATTATTCTGGAGTTTTTATTTTTTTATTTTTTATTTTATTTTATTTTATTTTATTTTATTTTATTTTGGAACAAACGATATTATCTATACTAAAAAGTAGGGATGGGTTTAGCTTCATAATAAGCTAGCAATTATATGGTTCAAACTCGTTTTTGGCGAAAATTGAACTTAAGACCTCTCACTTATAAGTGAAGATGAATACAACTAAATTGTAGTATTAAATGTTTATGCTGAAGTTTTTTAAGCTTTGAAATGTCAAATAAAAAAAGTTAACAAAGTTATTCGCAAACAGACACAAATAAGACATAGGGGACAACAGACATGGAGCCACATGGAGTCCGCCCTAAAAGTCTTTTAATTATATGCCATTAACTCGTGGAATGTTTCAAAGGTCCTAAAACTTGCAAAGACGTCCTTATCCCGCAATCAGGGGAAAAAAAAGTGGAGAATCTTATTTACAATTTTCTTCTTGTAAACCCAACAACCACGGAAAGAAAGTAAAGAATCATTTCGGATTTGCTCAACTTGTTAACCTACAATATGGTCGGATTGTCATTTAGTATTATGATCTAATGATTTTTTTTTTTTACTTGTAAGTGAGAGGTCTTATATTTGATTTACGACAAATGCGAATATGAACTACATTATTACTAAATCATTGTAAGAATAAGTCAACTCCCTCTCCTTTAATGTAAATAATATGATTTGTTTTAAAAATAAAAATCAAAATAAATCCGTCGGATTATTTTGGATTTTTTTTAACTTTGAAATGTCAAATAGAAAAGAGACAAGAGACCTGGAGTCAACCGGAGGCCACCCTGAAAGTCTTTTAGTTATAACTTATATGCCATTAACTCGTTTAATGTTTCGAAGGTCCTAAACTTGAAAAGTTGCCCTAAACCCACAATCACGGAAAGAAAGTGAAGAATCCTTTTGGATTTGACCAACTTGTTAACTTAAAAGTCGGTCTGATTATTTTGGATTTTTTTTAATCATTTAATGAAACCATTTAGTATTAAGGTTTAATGACATTTCTCTTCACTTATAAGTGAGAGGTCTTAGATTCGATTCTTACTAAAAGCAAATTCAATCACATATTGCTAGCTCACTGTAAGACTTAGCTCATTATGAGGTTTAGCTCACTCCCCCACCCTCTCATTGTAGATAATATCGCTTGTTCAAAAAAAAAAATGTCAAATAGAAAAATGTTTTTTTTGTTAGCACCCCACATTAAAATTAAATATTAAATGACTCATTTGCCTAACATCCAAAAAAAAAAACACCCCTAAAAATGCAACTCTTCCACAATGATCACAACAAACCCTTAATTTCCTAGTTGAAATAAATTATCCCGTGCTGGAATGCTTCCCTTTTTCTATTTAACTTGGTCGGTCTTTGTCCCTCACCTCACCTTCCTAAAATCAATGCATTCCCTTCTGCTTCGGTCTTTGTTTCCTTTCCTTTTGGTCACTTCCTTTACCTCAATCAACTTTGAGTTATGTTTGTGTCAACCCTACTCAATCTGCAAGGAAGCTATTAGCTGTGGCGGAATCGGAGACATCTCGTACCCCTTTTGGGGAGTAAACAGACCCAATTTCTGTGGCCAACCTGGGTTCGAGCTCCGATGCCTAGATGATGTCCCGGTGATCAACATGTCGAATATCAGCTACAGAATTCTCGAAATGAACTCAAGTAGTCCTCGGACTATTAAAGTTGCTAGGCAGGACTATTGGAAAACTCTCTGTCCTTCGAGTTTTGCAAACACCAGCATCAACTTCTCTCTGTTTAATTATAGTTCCGGTCTTACGAACGTGACATTTTACTACGGGTGCGATGTGGATGTTCCGAGAGTTTATTATAGTTCCCAAGTATGCAATGTAAACAACGGATCTGATCAAGTTGACACCGGCCTCTGTAAAGTCAATGTCACTGTTCCAGTCTTTAGTACAGCTGCTATCGGTATAGAGGTCAATCCAACGACTCTCCAGGACGCGATAGACGGTGGTTTTAAATTGGAAATTAAGATTGATAATGATCAATGCAATAGTTGTGAGGGATCAGGAGGTCGGTGTGGGCATAACACGACGACTGGTGGATTCACTTGCCATTGCCAAGATCAGGCGTCTGCAACCATATGCAATTCAACTTCAACTGAACCATCAGGTATGTTATGTATGCCCCTAACAAGTTATTCTGAAATGATTTCTATGGATCATTTTTCTCTTCATACACACCCATCTTTATTTCTAGAAGATCGGGATTGTGAATAAAAAATGGCATATTGAATCCCAAACCTATCCGAAAACCTACACAGAAGTGAAATTTCGATTTTTCAAAAATTTTGTATTTCGATACAATTCAGGGCTAACTCTTCAAGTTCAACCCAAATTGTTGGGTTTTATTTATTTATTTTTTATTTTGGCTTTTGGGCTGAAATTTAGTCTGCCCAATATTTTGGGAAAGTGTAACAAATTGAAGACCAATTTCAAATTTCAAATCCAATTCATAATTTCATACCAATTCATACTAAAGCCAAATTTATACTTCTATAGTACTATGAAAATACATAAATTCCAAACCTAAAAGCAAAAAACTAGGATACAAACCAAAATTCCAAATGAATTTTACTTATGTTACAAACCAAAAGCAAAAAATTAAGCTTAAGTTCATGAAGATTGTGCATTTTTCCCTTGTTGATGGTTGACCCCTTCCCCTTGCTGTAATGCTCTTGAAATGGATGGTCGTATAGGTAGTGATTACAGGTGGGCACGGGCCGGTCCGGGCCCAAAATTGAAGGAATCGGGCCGAACCCGTTTGTAAATAACACAGGGTGGTGCGGGTTTTGGATTTTTCAAAATGAGATCCAGACCTAACCCATGCGTTTTGAAACAGGCTAGTTCCTACAGTAGCGAGGTAACCCAAGAAGAACAAAGGAGCTGCTCATGGAGACCGACTGACCCCTAACTACTCGATGGCGATGATGGCGACAACTCGACGGCGCTGCTAGCGACGACTCGACGACGATGCTGGTTGATAACAAGCAACTCGACTACTACAACCACTACAACACCACTGATGGCTATGTCTGTAACGGCGTCGCTTCCTCATGCCTCTCCTACCTTACCTTCCCCCTCCCTCCCTCTTTTCTACAACTCTCCCTCATTCATCACCTCCCTCATCAACTCTCTCCCTACCCAGATCGCCTTCGCCAACAATGTGTCCGACGTCGACCCCATCCCCACCTGCATTTCGGTCATTGTCCCTGTTAACTGCTCCTGCTTTTCCAACAATAATTACAGTTAGACAATCAAGCCCCTCACGCATAAACACTCGACGACCAGTTAATGAACATACGGAGTTGGGAGAATTCGAGATCAAGGTCTAGAGGAGTCAGGATTTGGAGGTCGCTGTGAATCAACCTCCATAACCCTCTTGAGCTTGGGAGCGTAGAAAGAGTAAATAATAGCATGCCGCTTGGGGACCTCCAGCTGAGCCTTCCTATCTAAGAACATGGTAGAAATGGAAGATGAGTCCGAAAGGTTCCGATTTTGACGAAACGCGTCGACGGCTTTACGTTTCATGTACTCCCTTATGTTGTAGTCAGTGAATTTGTGAGCCACTCAGAGAAAATAGTGGAACATCGTGAGCACCTCTGCCCGAGAAGGAACTCCGGCCGCTGCACTCATGGTGGTTGTTATGACACATTCTCTGAGCTTTCTCGAGCTCAAAAGAGAAGGTGAAATAGACTGAGAGAGAGTCTGTGATCGAAGTCAGGATTTCTCTGGAAGTCTGGAGAATTCTACATAACCTAAGAAATAAACGATGCAGATTTAATCTCCCTATAATGAACGGTGGAACGGTTCGGGCGGGGGTCGTTTTCTTTGAAATTTGTACCCGCCTCGTACCCGCCCCAACTCGCAAGTCTAGGACCTGTTTGCCCAGCCCTAGTAATGATTGGTGTTGTTGAACTTGATCTTGAGGTGGAAGAGGAGGTGGGCATTTCTTCTCCTTGAGTTGGATTCTCCTCACCTCCTAAAGTAAGTGTCCCTAAAACAATAAACCCTCAAATTATTTTGATAATTCAATATATAGAATAATAAATACTAAAAAAATAAAAACATAAAATTAAATACTTCACTACTCTTCTCTAAGTCTTCAAGTTCCTTGTAGAACGTGAGTTTGTCAATTGTAAGCTCTTTGTAGAATCAAATTAATTCCCCCTAAGCCAGTCCCTAGTACACACTAAAGCCTTAACCATTGTAGGTGCTAATGATCAATGCAACAGTTGTGTGGAATCAGGAGGTAGGTGTGTACTTAACACAACGAGTGGTGGATTCGCTTGCTTTTGCCAAGATCAAGCATATGCAACCATGTGCAATTCAACTTCAACTGAACCATCAGGTATGTTATGTATGCCCCTAACATGTAGACAAAATTTTGTAAACTAAATGACATGGAAGTTGATCATTGGATTATTACTTAAGTGTTGATTAATGTGCTTATTTCTTAGTGGTGACACATCATTTAGTTAGTACATTTAGTCTACTTAGCATTACTCTCTATTCTGAAATGATTTATATAGATCATTTTTCTGCTCATACACACTTATCTTTATTTCTAGAGGATCGGGATCTTGAATCGAAAATGGCATACTGAAACTTGAACCGATCCTTTTCAAGATGGAATTCCAAAAATCGAAATCGAACCGAAATTTCGATATTCCCAAAAAATTTCTGTATTTTGAAACAGTCGGGACTGCGCCTTTAGCCCAAATTTTTGGGCTTTTATTTATTTATTTATTTTTTGGATTTTGGGCTGAAATTTGGTTAGCCCAATTTTTTGGGAAAGTGTAACAAATTGAAGGGATGGAATTCTAATCGTTAAACCCAATAACAGTGGATAATCGCTCGAATGGATTGGATTTTGGTACGTTAATTCGGGTTTAATTGGGTATGGGGAAAGACTGTGAATATTATTCAGTTATGGTTTTGAATATAGTTATAAGGGTCCTTAATCCGTATCCGTCCCCAAATCTGAACCGAGTTATATATATAAATAATATATATATATGTATGTATATTTATTATTCATCGAATCCATTACCTTAAGAATACAAAAATTGCATTGTGTGACTTGCATTTTGTGGGAAAGTTCAAAAGTTTTGATATGAATCAATCTATGAGAATTCAATGGTACTTATGAGATTTCAAAGATAACATTATCAATGTTTAGTTTTAATTTTTATGCTCCGCAAGATCCATTCATTAAATCATTTTATAAATCAAATATTTAATTACGAAATTAATATTTACTAAATTATCATGCATCAATTGAACGAATATACTTTTCGTATTGACGAAGATGGATATAACCGTTAACCAATGGATAATCCGTTACTTGGTGGGTATGGTTATGGATAAAACCCGATGGTTAATTTGTGGTTATGGATATAGTTAATTTTCATGGTTATGCGAATGGAAATAGCATTTTCGTCCCCAAACCGAACTGTTGCCATCCCTAAATTGAAGCCTAGTTTCAAATTTCAATTCCTATTCATAATTTCATACCAATTCATACTAAAGCCAAATTTATACTTCTATATTATTATCTAACTACTTATATGCATGCACTCAAATGAAAAGTTACATTACAAACTCAAAAGCCAAATATTAGGGTACAAACTAAAATTCCAATTGAATTTAACTTAAGTTACAAACAAAAAGCAAAAAGTCAAGCTTAAGTTTGTGAAGATTGCCCGCTTCGGCCTTTGCCCTTGTTGATGGGTGAACCTTTCCCCTTATTGTTGATGGTTAATTTCTGCCCCTTGTTGTAGTGCTCTTAAAATGGGTGTTCATGGAGGTAGTGATTGGTGTTGTTGAACTTGAACTTGAGGTAGTGGGGGAGGTGGCATTTCTTCTCCTTGAGTTGGATTCTCCTCACCTCCCAAATTAGGCGTCCCTAAAACAATAAACCTCAAATTATTTGGAAAATTCAAAGTATAGAATAATAAATACTAAGAAAATAAAAACATAAAATTAAATACTTCACTTCCTCTTCTCTAAGTCTTCAAGTTCCTTGTCGAATGTGAGTTCATCGATTGTAGGCTCCTTATAGAAACAAATGTTGGATAAAAATCAATAATCAATAATAATTTATATATGCTAATAAATAATAAATGTGAATAGATAAATTAACAGAGTATGAACAAAACAAAAAAAAAAATATTAAATAGACAACTTGAAGATCAAGGCTTGCGTACCGCAATGTCCTTGAAACAGAAATTTCGTCTCTTAGTGCTTGTAGTTCTACGGACGTCTACTTCATCAGGATTCAACGATCAAAGTCAAAATTCCAGCACCAGAAAACTTGACTTCTAGCGAATTTCGATGTGGTTCTCTCGGTAAGAATGTTTGGGATTGTAGAAGAAGAATTTGATTTTTCTGTATTCTAAATGCCATGTAGATAGATGTATATATAGTAGGTTTATACCTGTTCGCAACAGGTATAAGAATGGGGTGTGTATGTTGGAAGACATCTTTCTCAAAGGGGTGCTTTGCTCTGCGTTCTTTCATCACTTCAGACTTCATCTGAAAAGATGAGTCTGTTGATAATTAATTATATATATTAATTATCAATTAATTAGTACACCCAAAAGCCCAATCCCAGGGTTGAGCCTAATTTCATTCTCCATGGTCCATCACTCCAATCACTATATATAAGGGACAAAGCCTTATAAACCTTTTGGTAGTGACCAATGTGGGATAATGAAATTTCTACTCAAAATTTCCAACAACAAAATCAATTCCCCTTAAGCCAATCATTAGTACACACTAAAGCCTCAACCATTGTAGGTGTTAATGATCAATGCCACAGTTGTGAGGAATCAGGTGGTAGGTGTGGGCTTAACACGACGAGGGGTGGATTCGCTTGCTTTGCCAAGACCAAGCGTACGCAACCATATGTGATTCAACTTCAATTGAACCATCAGGTATGTTATGTATCCCCTAACATGTAATTTTGAAATAATTTATATGGATCATTTTTTCTCCTCATACGCACCCATCTTTATTTCTAGGGGATAAGGATCCTAAATCGAAAATGGCATATTGAATCTCGAACCGATCTCGTTCGAGACAAGATTTCGAAAACCGAAATTTCAATATTCTCGAAAAATTTTAGTATTTTGATATAGTTCAGGATTGGGCATTTAGCCCAAATTGTCGGGTTTTTTTTATTATTTTTTATTATATATATATATATATTTTTCTTTTTTCTTTTTTTTTAATTTTTAAATTCTGGATTTTGGGCTGAAATTTATTCAGCCCAATTTTTTGGGAAAGTGTAACAAATTGAAGCCTAGTTTCAAATTTCAATTCCTATTCCTAATTTCTTACTAATTCATACTGAAGCCAAATTTATACTTCTATAGTACTATCTAACCATTTAAATTCAAATGCATGCAACTGAATGAAATAAGTTAAGTTACAAACACAAAAGTAAAAAATTCGGGTACAAACCAAAATTTCAAATGAATTTTACTTAAGTTACAAACCAAAAGCAAAAAGTTAAACTTAAGTTCATGATGATTGCCCGCTTCGACCCCTTGCCTTTGTTGATGGTTGACCCTCTCCCCTTGTTGTTGATGGTACCCTAATCCTTGTTATAGTACTCTTGAAATGGATGGTCGTGAAGGTAGTGATTGGCGTTGTTGAACTTGAACTAAAGGTGGTGGAGGACGTGGCATTTCTTCTCCTTAAGTTGGATTCTCCTCACCTTCCAAATTAGGCATCCCTAAAACAATAAACCACAAATGATTTAAAACTTAAATGTATAGAATAATAAACAATGAAAAAATAAAAACATAAAATTAAATATTTCACTTACTCTTCTCTAAGCCTTCAAGTTCATTGTAGAATGTGAGTTCGTCGATTGTAGGCACCTCATATAAACAAAATCAACTCCCCCTAAGCCAACCACTAGTACATACTAAAGCCTCAATTATTGTAGGTATTAAGAAAGTTCTAAAAGGATCGACAAGTCTCCCAACAAGACTAAAGGCATTCTCACTAGCATCCTTAGCAACCTTACTAATAGTTGGATATGTACCACAATTCCCTTTCCACCAATCCAAAAGGTTGAAACCCTTATATGATAGGCTTTGATGTGGATCGTTAAAGTAAATATTGACTTCATTGGCTATCTCACCAAAACATCATCTACTACAACACTTGATCTTTTCTCCACACTTGTACTACTACTAGGGGTCGCTCCCTCCTTATACGCATTATACAACTCGATTATATTTCTTTTAACATTTGCTTTCATCTCGACTATTTTTTTTTTCATCCATAGCCGAGTATCCCTCGGTTTGTTTCCAACATTTCGAATTTGTACCTCGGGTCGAGTGCTTGGGCTATAAAGAGTATAGGGTTAACATCGTCAATGTCACCCAATATTTGCCAAATTTGAGTTTCATGGAAGTAGCACACTTTACAAAGTGACATAAGAGATGTTTAAATTTTGTTCTTGTATCTCCACTTGCATCGCAATCACCATGCCAAGTATTAAGTTTGACATTGGAGTTAGGGTTGCATTAAGGGTCAAGGTAGCATCATAAAACTTTTTATGAAAGCAAGCAAAACTCATCAACCTCTCTTAATCATTCACCCCCGGAGGACCCACCCGCTAGGCCTTTGTTGTCACCCCCTTAACCTCTTTAGAGATCATTCTTTAAAGTAAGAGATAAAAGTGTCACACTCATAGGCCATTATAAAAGCACTTCCTTAAATTTGAAAGCACTACTAAGCATTTCATCGGCTTTTTACGGATCGGTTTGGCTTTTTGTTGGCTTTTTATGGATTGGTTCATTTTTTGTTCGGTTTTATTAGGTTCGGTTCGGGTGTTTTATTTTTTAATAAAATATGAAAATTGGTTATTTTATTTAATATAAAAAAAATGAAAAATGGAGATGAACTCAGCAAACATATATCTTAAATGTTAGAAACCTGGAAATTGGTTTGCCCCAATCTCAGAAAGCCCATCACCCTCAAATCTCAAAAAACTCAGCAACCCCTTCTTTCTTCTTATTCCTCCCCTTATACACCAAAACCACAACTTCCCAAATCCACTCACGTCACGGGCGACGTTTGATGCATCAAACTAGTGTGCTCGGGATCTGACAAAGGCACCGGCAACAGTATAAGTAGGGCGCACAATGACGAGGTTGTGGAGAGAAGAGAGAAATGATGAGCGAGAAACGAGAGAGAGTAATTAAGAGGAGAAGTTGCAGAGAAAGATATGAGAGAGAAAGAGGAGAAGTAGGGCGCACAATTACTTCACCTACAATTTTTTTCTTTTTGCATAAACTAATTAGAATTCTAGTTCAAGGGACTTAACTTTTCTGTCATTTAGTTCATTATATAGTAATATAAACGTAACCTATGTTCTATATACATCTTGAGATGATTTAATAAATTTTGTCAAATGAAACTACTGATGTAGACAGTAGAATTACAGGTTTACAACACTTAACACATAACCTTTATCTGTTGCAGGTTCATTGTCGCCTAGTTGGAAAATTGGTAAGTACTACGTGCATGTTATGAATGGCAATTAGTAGAAGTTTTTTGGGTTTTTGCTCAGGAAATGATAATCATATAATACACTTTTCTCTTTCATACATCTTTCTAGATATCATGAGATTAATCTCTATCGTCGTTAGATTGTTGATTATTATGTGATAGTGCTAAAGGAGAAATAATACATCAAAAGAACAAAGAGATTATTTTCACGTTGGAGGAATTAATCTTTCATTTATAGACATTCATTGTACCCTTTCAAAAGAGTTATAAGACTTTTTTGGGTTGTCTATCATTATCATTTATAGAAGAGTTTTAACATCCTATGATAAGTCATACTTTTTGGTTAAGTTTACATAAGTACACCAATCTTATAGTGTACCTCCGCATATCAAATACACACATAATAAAGTCAAGAGCATCATGATCATATTCTAACAGTTTAATCATGTTTATTATTTCCGTGGGCAGATGAGAAAAAAGAGTGGTTATCATTTCCCTTCCTTTTAATATGCTTTTATGTGCTCGAATAATTTAGGAAATGCCTAACTTCAACAATTTTTTAACATAGGTATTTCTGCTGGTGTTTCGGGGACTATAGTAGCAGTTATTTGCATAATATGCATATCGTGGAAAAGAAAATTAATGTGCTTCTCAAAGAAGGATAAAACGGATGATTTTGATGTCGGGGCTTTTATAAGGAATTATGGATCACTTACTCCAAAGCGGTATAGTTATTCAGACGTGAAAAAAATGACAATCTCCTTCAGAGATAAAATAGGTAAAGGAGGATATGGCACTGTCTACAGAGGAAAACTACCCGACGGCTGTCTTGTTGCAGTGAAAGTCCTCAGCGACTCCAAAGGAAATGGAGAAGAATTTATCAATGAGGTTGCTAGCATTGGTAGAACTTCCCATGTCAATGTAGTCACGCTTTTCGGATTCTGTTACGAGAGGGATAAAAGAGCTCTGATTTACGAATTTATGCCTAACGGATCTCTTGATAATTTCATACATAAGCAAGGATCCGATATTGACAATTGTCGCTTGGGGTGGAAGACATTATCCGAAATAGCAGTCGGTGTTGCGCGAGGACTAGAGTACTTGCACCGCGGTTGCAACACGAGAATTTTGCATCTCGACATAAAGCCGCAAAACATTCTTTTGGACAAAGACTTTTGCCCTAAAATCGCTGATTTCGGTCTTGCAAAACTATGTAAAGCGAAGGAGAGCGTTGTGTCGATGTTGGGCACAAGAGGAACTGCAGGATACATCGCACCTGAAGTATTTAGTCGGAGCTTTGGAGGAGTGTCTCACAAGTCTGATGTGTACAGCTACGGAATGCTGGTTCTCGAAATGGTTGGAGCAAGAAAGAATTTGGATTCCGGAGTGTCTCATACGAGTGAAATGTTTCCGCATTACATTTATAAAGATCTAGAGCTAGAGAACAATGCGAATGTTTTTGGGGCTAGCAGTGAGGAGGAAAATGAAATAGCAAGAAAGATGGTGTTAATAAGCATGTGGTGCATTCAGACCATTCCTTCCGATCGGCCATCGATGAGCAAAGTGGTGGAGATGTTGGAAGGACCCATTCAGTCCTTGCAACTTGCACCCAAGCCTTCCTTGTTTTCTCATACAACAGCTGCAGAAAACTCTATGAGTACAAACCAACAGTCTGATGAAACAAGCTAGGGCAACTAGATTTGTTAGCAGATCTTTGGTAATTAGGAATTCCTGATGAATTGTAAGAAAATTTTGCTTTGTGAAATGAAATTTTTTTGCATGATATATATGAAACATGTTTCCTTCTAATTCTGTTCAATAAAGTACACTGACTAGCTAGTCTAGGGATACTTTTAAGAGGTTCATCCGATCTCCTTCGTCCATCGTAGATCTGGTTAGAGTTTGACTGCGCCACCGAAACCGGCCACACCGAACAAAAGTTTCTGTGGACGGAATGTGATCGGTGTAGCTTCCATCGCGTTTTCTTCTGTCTCCAGAGTGCTATAAACACATGGATAGCGTACAGTAGCTCCAGCTGCAGAACCAGACTACAAACCACCAAAAGGTTTTCCAAGGTATATATTATATACAAAAAAGTAAGGAACAAAAAGAGGTCCTACCGGGAGTCGAACCCAGGTCGCTGGATTCAAAGTCCAGAGTGCTAACCACTACACCATAGAACCAATACGTTAACAAAGGCCAAAACACATTAATTATCATCCAGTACTATTATATTTGTAATATATTCAATTTTTTTAATCTCATTAAAAATAGTCAAATTCATGTCTAACCAACTGGCCTACTTGACTTTGGTATTACAAAATTACCTAGAATATTCATTTTTATTTGTAGGTAAGAAGTTTTGGACTCACAAATAACAAGCTAAATTCCAAAAATAAGCTTGATGCATAAGAAATTGTAATTCACTAAAAGATAGGAAAAACCTCAAAGTTTATTGAATAATTAAAGGGAACTTTAACGAAAAACTCTCGGTTCACTTTAACGGAAAACCCATAATTTTACACTAAAAAATCAATCATGGTACTATTCATTTTACCCTTTATTTTGTCATTATTGTTAAAACTCAAAGTTTTCAAATAATTTTCATTAGTTTTTCTTAATTTAAAACCCTAACACCACAAAAGATTATTTTCAGTCTACTACAACCCTAGGCTTTGTAGGAATCTATAGAAAGGAAAATGCCAAATGAAAATACCAAAAATATCCTCAAAAGTCAAGACTTAGAATGTTGTTTAGGGTTAGAAAACAGATATATAATTCGGCTAAAATTGTCAATAGGATTGGACTAAGATTACAAAGGAGAATCTTATTTTGTTCGTGATGTCGTTCTTTTTGAAATGACAGCCATGAGTCAAAATCTACAAAAATTCAACTTTGTTATCGAATTTACGCTTTTCAATCTGATTCTCAATCCTCTCCTTCAACTGATTTAGATCAATAACTTTGTTCAATCATCACTCCCAAAAAAAGAAATAAAGGTACAAACTTAAGTGAAATTATGTATTGAGATTGAATTCCACATTGGGGAAAAGAGGAACCTTGCATGTTCTTACAAGTAGTTGGACTACTCTCTATATTGTCAATTAGTTTTATAGTGGAACCTCAACTTTCTTTATGATATCATAGCAGATCAGCCCACATGTGAAGCTCAATGACCACGCCTGCTCCATGTCACTCAATTTATGACGTCCACGTGTTTGGCTTGAAACTTCATATAGATGGGTTAGTTTAGTTTTACTTTGTAATCTATCATGCTTTAAGTACAAAGTTAAGTAAAATAAAATACATTGCCCATATCTCGGGTAGATTTCTGGTTTCCCTTTTTTAGTACATGGGAAGATAAGGTTGGCTTGTAGCTACCATTTGAAATAAAAGCACTAATTCAATGATTACATTTATTGACATCATGATAATATCATCAAGTTCATAGCTAGCCAACTAAGGTAGAGAGAAAGTTGGAAAGGATAAGAGGTCGTCATAGTTGGTAGTTGCTACATGATTTATATAATGGAAATCTACCTTAATCCAATTATTAATCCTTAAGGTGTATGACATAGGCGCATTGCAAATACGAGACAAAACCCCTCCTCTGATAACTCTCAAGCAACCATGTAGCTAAAGAAAGATAAATAAATAAACACATTTAAAACTTGAAACAAAATCAGATGATATGAAATATATCTAAAACAGCGTTTTTATCCAGATTTTTGTCGGAGTCGGAGATTATGGATGGGGATCAGCTAAGAACTCTTCACGGCTCCTTGTGTACCTTAAAGCTAATTAATCACTCTTGGACCCTCAAATACTTAGTTGGAACACACCTCATAACGCACAACACCATCAACATCGTAATTTCAGTACTCCAAAAAATAACTAAAAAAATTAAAATTAAAAAGAAGAAGAAGAAAAATAAGATATAGTACCAATTAACATTATCTATTGTCACAAAAAATGGGAATTAAATACTCTTGTTGTTAACCATACAAGAATATTATTATCAACCGTATAATCATCAATTGTTCAAGCAGGCCAACCTTTTATTGTTAACTATACAAGAAAACAGAAGCACTTTTGTTAATCTTTATGATATTATAATTAGTGGTATTCTTGGAGGGGACCCCAAGTTTGGTATAATTTGTTGGCCGCAGGTGTCTCGTTTTTACCATACAGATTATTTGCATATTGACGGCTATATATAGAGTCAAAAGCCAAAATCAAAGCACTGATCTGCATGATTAGGTAATAAAAATTAGGTTTAAGAGTGAAAAAAAAAAAACAAAGGTATAACCTATACAGATAGAGGAATGGAAGAGGAAGGAAAATTGCACACAACTAGTTGAAATCGACATGCATGCAGCAAAGCAAAAGCAACTTTTCGTAGATTTCACGGGATCTAATTCTTTACTAATAATTTGGAATGAAAAAGGTGGATTGCTTTTGTTACCTCTGTTTGACTTGTACAGGTGGCTTATTTTTGCGTGTCAAACTCAAAATTTCATGAAGAATATGGATTGCTTTTGTTATACATCTGTATATAAGTGACCAATCATATGGGAAACAAACATGCATGATTTGAAACCAGCTGTTTCCCTACAAACACAATATCAGATGAATTAAAATATTTATATATCAGACATGCGGTATACCACTAGCTAGAGCTAAGACCAAGACGGTTTAGAGATTTTAATGTTTTAAGAACAAGGTTTTCTTCACGTTGTTACAATTTCATTCAAACTATAATATGTACAAATGTACAAATAAAAAGTATTTTATATACACATAAAAATTTATCTAAAACTTTTTGCCTAATTAATCATTCACACACAATGTATATCAAGCGAAATGCAATCAATCAGAGTTAGTGATATAGGAACTGGATCCTCTCCGGATCCAAAATGATATGAGCCTATTGAGTAATATATTTGGGCTATTGAAATTTGATCCAACAACTACAATTATTATAACTTTAGAGGAGGGCCTCTATTTGTAGTCGTTTGATCAAATTTCAATAGTTCGGATGCATTGCTCAGTTGGCTCAGATCCCTTGGATCCGAAGAGGATCCAGTCCCATTGATATATAGCAGATTCTGTAGAATCTTACGTAGACGTGTGGCATGCTTGCAGATTTGACCATTTACTGTGGCAAATTAAAGAACAAATTGTATAATTAGCTAGTAATTAGGGTTTGGCTATGACGTGAGTTAAACACTTAGTGCTTTGAAACAATGACGGATGCCCACGTATCCGCTCTTCAAGAACACGAAGACGCGACCCTAGTTAAAGAGAGATTTTTCAGTGTATTCGAAACGAGGCGAAACAACAAATAATGTCATTATATAATTAGAGAGAGAATTAAAATAAAACTTTTCCTAATAATATAATAACATGTAGTGTACATATCTGTGTTTTTTGCACATTGAAATATCTCTCTTCGCTAAGGTTAAATGCTGTCACCCCTATTTTATCACCTCACCCCAATTTATATCTATTGGGGAAATTATATTCAAGGAAAATATTAAAACAAAAACAAAAGTGAGTGCTATGGCCTTTGCGGGCATGCATGCATCCATGGTGGAAAAAACCCATCTATACACTATGTACGTACACTGTAGACATAATATTGTTATAGAAATCTACTTAAATTATAAGATGTGTACAATCAGTATTAACTAGATATACTCTGGAAGATGAACTTTAAACTTGAGATACTATATTAATTTATAATTGTATATGTGTTATCGACTATAAGTGAATCTTAACCATTTCACCAAATAATTCGCTCTAGTTTTGCGTTTTAAGATCTTGTAGGTTTTCATATTTGTCTTTTTCGTACAAAATGATCAAGGTACTAAGTTTAAATTGGATACGATTTGGAGTGTTATTCAAACTCATTTCATCTGTGAACCCATAGTTTGATTAATTGTGCATACTTTACTAATTATGATGTACATAAAATTAAAAATTACGTTCCATGTCATTTTTTTTACAAGAAGCAATAGTGATTTGTTAACAAACAAGAATAATTACAAGAGTTGCCACATGGATACATTCTCCAATGCTGAAGATAACTCGCATAAACAAGCATAAAGATAATTCCTTAATTGGCTACCACAACCACTAGGGTACTAGCACAAGTGCACATGTTTAGATCTACCACAAATACGGCAAATGCAACAAACCTAAACTAGGCACACGTAATTGTTGCCACCAACAAGCAAGACCACATTACCTGTTAGACACATACCAAAAAAAAAAAAAACCTACACTAATCACAATTTGTATGTAGATTTAGCCAAACAGGTCCATCAGAATTTGAAGATTGTGCTGAGGCACTGTTTATACTTCGCAAAAAAGGTACTCTTAAGGACTATATTTCTGAGTGATGTAGATTAGCCAATCGAACTAGCGATGTGGACCTATACTACTTAAGAGTTGTTTTCTGGGTGGATTAAAATGAAAATTAAAGTGTGATGTGAAGCTGTTACGCCCTGCAAATATGCATGAGGCCATAGCTATTGCAATCCAAGTAGATAATAAGTTCAATGACCTTAAAGCTAGTTACCCCAAACCACCTGCACCTTCCAAACCTCAGTTTAATCTAATGGTTCCTCATTCTTTTCCTGTCACTCGAACGGGTAATTTTCCTGTAAATAAACTTACTCCTGAGGAAATACAGCGCAAAAGAGATAGGGATGATTGTTGGTTATGTGATGAAAAATGAGTGAAGGCCATAAATTTAGACTTGGTTAACTTGATGATGAGGTTGAGGATTCTAATGATGAATTGCAGCTTTGTTACAACAAATGGAACTCAGTGAGCGTGCATTTTACGACACCAATGCTGA